GATTTCTTTGTGTGTTCTTTAAATTCACTGAATTCTTTTATCATGTTTATGGTGTTCTTTTGAGTTCCATGTCCTGCATTATCTCTAGGGAGTTCTCTAGGGAGTACTCTTCGAGAGGACTGTTAGTATTTAGTGGGGATATGTTATTTTGGTTTTTCATGTTATTTTTTCTCTGTGATTTTTGACATGTGAATTTCTTTTGTAGTTTCTGATTCTTGTGTGAGACTCAAGCCTTCAAGTTTAGGTCTGCTTCTTTTTGTAAACTTTATGTGCCTTTCTGGTTTACTTTTGGGGCATGAAAAGATTGTTCATCTAAGCTTCTGCTTCACTCTTTTAATTTTATATTGGAGTGACCAGATTGCTTTTGTCTTCAGGAGTTCCCACAGAGGCCCAAGTCAGATAAGGATCAGATGCTCTCAGGCTTTCTCCTAAGGTCTGGATCCCTCAAGGAAAGATGTTGTCCTCAGGAATTTTGGGGGTTGGACTGGCCTGGAAGCTGGGCCCAGGAAAGATGCTGGTCTTGGATAGCTGGTAGACGTGCCACCCAGAGCTTCAGAGGGAGATGGGGGCGGGAAGATGCCTCAAAGGGCTCCTGGGGACTGCAGGGAGGAACTGGGTTGGTCTGGATGCAGAGTATCAGGAACTCGAGAGGTCAGCCCTGGTGTCCGGGAAAGAGGCTGGTGGGTTGTGCAGACCCAGGGAAGCAGAGGTAGGTGAGACCAGAACCAGGCCCATAGGGCTCCTGAGACCACGAGAAGGAACTGGGTTCATCTGGATGCAAGGGATCAGGAAGCAGTGGTGGTTCTGTGCCGAGGGGTCAGCCCTGGGGCCCAGGAAAGAGGCTGGCCAGTTGTGCAGCCCATGGAAGCAGAGGGAAGTGAGCTTGGTATATTTTTTAAAACAGCCTTATTGTGCTGGTTGAAATTGCTCAGCAGTAAAGGTACTTATTACCAAGCCTGATTACTGAATTTGATCCCTGGAGCCACATGATGATAGAAGAAGAGGACTAACTCCCACAAGTTGTCCTCTGGCCTCCACACATCCACCCATGGAACATTCCTCCCAAAATAAATGTAATTTAATTTAAAATAACAATTTTTTGTGTTATATAATTTACACACTATTAAATTCACCCACTCTATGTACATGAAGAATATGTGTGTGTGTGTGTGTGTGTGTGTGTGTGTATGCATTGAACTGGGAAAATTAACAACAGACCCCAGTCTTATCTGAAGAAATATTGGCAACTGATTGCTGCTAGGTGAATAAGAGGTAATCTTCCTAAAGCTAGGGACTCTAGATAGGCTGACTAGACCTCAGTGGATGGACTTGCACTGGGGAATGTCGGGAAACACTGACTTGACACAGTAGACCTTAACGGGGATGACATTATAATGGGCTCCAGTTGGGGGGCTATGGGAAGGTGCTGGTGGGGATGGGGCATTATAAAGATGATTAAGACTGTATGAGATATTCTGTATGAAATAACACTTTAAAAAATAGAAATAAATAACATTTTCTAAAAGGGATAGTAGTATTATGGATGAGAATATAGAAAAATTAGAACTCTGTTGATAGAGTTGTAAAATAACTGCTTTGAATGCACTCTGGCAGTATCTTGACACGTTAAACAGCATATGATCCAGTAATTGTACTTCTAGGTGTATACCCAGCAGAATTGGGAACATATCCATTAAAAATTGTGTATATAGCCGGGTGTGGTGATGCATGCCTTTAATCCCAGCACTTGGGAGGCAGAAGCAGGAGGATCTCTGTGGTTTGAGGCCAGCTTGGTCTACATAGTGAGTTCCAGGCCAGCTGAGGCTACAGGGAGACCCTGTCTTCGAAAAGATTTTTGAAAATCGTGTGTATAAATAAATGTACAAAGCAACATTATTCATAAAAGTCAAAGGTAGAAATAACCCAGATGTTTGTCAGCAAATGAAGAAAGTGTGAAATGTGGCATTATTTATTAATAAAAATGAATAAAGTATCGATCCATATCATAATATGGATGAACCTCGAAAACATTTTGGTAAATCAAAGAAGTTAGTCACAAAAGCAGTTATTACATTTATATGAAATGTTCAGAATAGATAAATTTATAAAGACAGAGTATAGACTGGTGTTGCCTAGGGTTAAGGAGAAGCATCAGGAGGAAGTGGGGAGTGACTGCTAATGAATTCAGGGTTTCTTCTCAGTTTAAAGATGTTATAAAATTGTTTGTGATGATGGTTATACAACCCTGTGAACATATTAAAGTAGCTACTTTTACACATTAAGTGGTTGAATTGTGCAGTGTATGTATAACAAAAATTTTAAAGTCAAGTAGTACCTGGGCATGGTGTTGCACAGCTGTAGTTTCAGCTTGTGGGAGGCTAAGGCAGGTGAACCACAAGTTCCAGGCCAACTTAGGCTATATAACAAGACCTTGTCTCAAAATAATGTCAAATATTATCAGACTCCAAAATTTATGAAAAAATATGATACATTTATAAGTGTGTCTCCTCTGTTCATCCTCTTGAGACAGGAGGATAGAATGCTTGGTTGTCTCCTAGCAATCATTTCTCTTTCATTCTTTATCCTAGTTGATGAGTAGGTTTGTTCATTGTATATACTTAGGTATATAATCATAACTTGTTTTTAATAGGAATTGAGTTCTCAGACTTTATCACATGATGGAGGATTCTTCAATAGACTGGAAGATGATGTTCATAAAATTCTTATTAAAGAAAAAAGAAGAGAACAACTTACAGAATACAATGGAACAGATAATTGTACAGCTTCTGAATACAACCAGGTATCTAAAATAGAAATTCTCTTAAATCACTGTGCAATTATGATGTAAATTTTCTTTTCTTTTCTAATATACAATTTTTTATTTTTTGAGCATTTCATACATGAATATTATATTTACATCAATTTGTACTCCCCCCAGTCATCCCTCCCACTCTTCCCATGTCCCCCTACTCCCTCTCATTTTTTTTTTCCTGCTGTAGCCACAGCTGGCCTGGATTTGCTATGGAGACCAGTGTATATGAAGCACTGAGTCCATTTAGTGGTGCTAATGTGTACGTGTTTAGGGCTGACTTGGGATTAGATAACCTACCAGGGAGCTAGTCCTTGGAGAAAAATGAATTCTCCCTCCTCAGCATCCAGTAATTACCTATAGCGCATCTAGAGGTGGGACCCTGTGAAATTTTCCCCATGTACATTGTCATGTCAACTGGTTTTGTCATTTTGAAGATCTTGTTAGGCTCCCATACTGTGGAAAGTTCATGGGTTCAGCTTCCCTATCGTGTCTAGAATAGAATTCATTCTGTAGCAGCAGGTGTCTTGATCCTCAGCCTTTTGCAATCTTTCTATCCCCTTTTCCAAGATGTTCCCTGACCTTAAGGTGTTGAGGTTGCATTGTAGATGTGTCAGTTAGGGCTGGGCTCCTATAGTCACTTACTCTCCAAGTTTTGACCAGTTGTGGAAATTTGCAATAGCCTCCATCTGTTGCAAAGAGAAGCTGCTTTAATGCATGGTGAGAGCTGTGCTTATCTGGAAATACAGAAATACATATGTAGAATGTACTAAAAAATTACATTGGCCTCAGAAAGTCACAGTAATAGATTCTAATCTACGGTTTGTGACCTCTCCAACCATATGTATTTGGCTTTTTGCAGTACCATTCATGGATTCCTTCCTATTGAGCAGGGCTTAGGTTCAATTAGATAGTTGTTGATTACTCCCAAAATAAAAGTGCCACTTGTACCAGTAGAGATAGTTTGGTGGATCCATCATTGTTCTGATTCATAGTGTTTACAGCTGGGTAGGACTATTGATTGGTTTTCTTTCTTGACAGCTTGCATAGTACATTTTGATACCTTGAGAGCTAGTGTTTAGGGGAAGAGGCTTCTAGCTCAGTTGCTCCAAGTCCTATGTCCAAAGTATATGTCATGCCTTCAGCACTAGTATCTTACCCTCAAGTTCTGGGAGGTAATCAAGGGCTGTGACAGTAGCCTGTATCATTTTGCAGGTCTTTTGGACTACTATGACCAACAACTCAAAGGGAGGTTTCCCTTGCCTGACACTGATTTTTGTTACATAGCCTTAAACTATACACATGCATTCACATATATATTCTTTGTATATTTTTCGGTAGGCTTATAAAGTATACATTTTCCTATAGTTTTTCACACCACCCAAGAACTATCTTTCTTCCTCTACAACCGTATAGCTCTTCCTCCTCCCTCCCCAGTTAAAATATCCCTATTTTCCCCATTTCCTTCTTGATAACACCTGTTTCCTACAACTCCCTCTCTTGAGCTCCTTCCTTCCGTTATCCCCATGGTTCCTTTCCATTTTCCTGGCTCCTGCGGTTACATCAGGATATATATTCAATCTAAGGATTTGGAGTGAGGATCTACAAATGAGAGAGAAGATATGTCACTTATTTTTCTGAGTCTGGTTGATTTCACTCAGTATAACAGTTTCTAGTTCCATCCATTTACCTGCAAATTTCATGGTTTCATTTTTCTTTGTAGCTGAATAGAACACCATTGTGTAAATGTGCCACATTTTCATTACCCATTCATCCACTGAGGGACATTTAAGTTGTTTACATTTCCTAGCTATTGTGAAAAGGGCAGCAACAAACATGGCTGAGCTAGTATCTTTGTAGTGGATATCAATTGAGTCCTTTGGGTATATGTGGAGGACTAGTCCAGCTGGATCATATAAAAGATCTATTTTTAGTTTTTGAAGAATTCTCCACACTGATTTCCATCCTGGCTATACCAGTTTGCAATTCTACCAACAGTGAATAAAGGTTTCCCTTTCCCCATATCTTCACCATCATTTGTTGTCAGTTGTTTTCTTGATCTTAGCCATTGTGACTGGGGTAAGATGACATTTTAAAGTAGATTTTTTGCATTTCCCTCACTGCTATGGACATTGAATGCTTTTTAAGGTATTTTTATCCATTTTTATTTCTTTTTGAAATATTTATTATTTTTATTTTATGTGTATGAATGTTTTGCCTGCATGTATGGAAGTGCACAATGTGCATGCAATGCCCACAGAGACCAGGAGAGGGTGTCAGATTACCTGGAACTGGAGTTATGGACAGTTCTTAGCCACCATGTGGGTGCTGGGAATTGAGCCTGGGTCCTTAACTGCTGACATCTCTTCAGCTCACTATTTCTTTTGAGAATTCTCTGTTCAGATCTGTAGCCCATTTTTTTAAATTGGGCCATTAGTTTTATTGATTTTTTTTTCTTTTGAGTTCTTCATATATTTTGGATATTACTCTGTCAGATGTATAGCTGGCAAAGATTTTATCCTTCTCTGTGTGGACCTCTTCACTTGATTGGTTGTTTCATTTGGTATGCAGAAGCTTTTTAGTAAATGTCCCATTTATCAATTGGCCCTGATTCCTAAGCAAATGAAGTCAGATTTAGAAAGTCCTTACCTGCACCTGTATCTTGTAGGTACTGCTTATATTTTCTTCTAACAGTTTCAGAGTTTCAGGTTTCACATTGAAGTCTTTGATCCATTTGGAGTTGACTTTTGTGTAGGGTGATAGATACAGGTTTAATTTCATTCTTCCACATGTGGAGATTTAAGTTTACATGATAAAGGCCTTTCACATCTTTGGTTACATTTATTCGTAGATTTTTTTTTTTTAGGGTTTTGGAAATGGGGGTATTTCCATGATCTCTTTCTCTGATTGCTTGTTATTGGTATATAAAAAGGCTACTGATTTTTGAAAATTGATTTGGTATCCTACCGCTTTGCTGAAAATGTTGATCATTTCTAGAAATTTTCTGGTGAAACTCTTGGGAATCTCTGGAGTATAGTACATATCATCTATAAATAGAAATAATTTGACTTCTTTTCTAGTTATTATCCATTTAATTTCCTTCTCTTGTCTTACTGCTCTAGCTAGGAGCTGGGATTGTGGACAGCCTTGTCTTGTTCCTGATTTTAATGAAAATGCTTCATGTTTTTTGGCAGTTAGAATGATGTTAACTGTGGGGTTTTGGCCTTAATTATGTTGAGGTATGTTCCCTCCAGTCCTGTGTCTTCTAGGATTTTTATGATCAAAGTATGTTGGATTTGTTCAAGGTACTTTTCTGTATCTATTAAGATTATTGTGTGATTTTTTGTCTTTATAAGTCCATTTATATGTTTTAATTACATTTACTGACTTATGTATATTGATCCATCCCTTCATTTCTGAAATAAAACCAAATTGATTGTAGTGGATGATCTTTTTGTTGTGAATTAAAGAAAGACTGTAGCCCAAGGCAGCTTCAGAAAGAGAGGCCTGAAGTTCTGAGAGACTTTAGACTGAGTGTTCAGGAAACTGTAAAGTTCTGCAACTAAGAAGCATAGAGTTAAGCATTTGGCATTAGATCATCATAGAAATGGATTGGATCTATATTTTAAAGATTATTCTATGAAACTAAGAAGTTAGACTTTTATTCTATACAGCAGGGTGAACCATGGCCCACAAGTCAGATCCAGTCACTGGTCTGTTTTGTTTTTGTTCTTGTTAAGTCAGTAAGCCAAAATTGATATTTATATTTTTGAAAAACAATTAAAAAATTTTTTTTGAAGAAAAGATGGGCACACACATACATAAGTGGTATTTTTAAAAAAGTTTGAGGGCAGCCTGGCTATATAATGAGACCCTATCTCTAAGAAAGCAGGGGGTTGTGAGGGGGAGAAATGGAAATGTGTGACAGAGATGCTTTGTAGCCCATAAAGCCTACAATACTTACTTCTGGGACCTTTCAGAAAGTTCACTGTTATGCAGCATTGATTCTCAGAGTATTCTCATAGGATTTTCTACCTTCGTTCCTGAGCTGACAGTTATCACTAGAAAGTAATTGTAATATAGCGGTAATGTTCTCATCTGATAATCAGTGCTATGTAATTTTTGCCATATCCTCATTTCTGTTTATCAGCACTTTGATTCTGGCTTTGGCAAATTCCTACTATACTGTTCCAACTTCTAAAAGTCTAGTCCCATTCTCTTACTCTTTTCAAAAGACATTATCTCTCATTTTCAAATTTTCAGCATAGGGATAGGAGAAATTTTTGCCTACCCTGAAGTACTATTAAGTTTCTGACTTTCTGGCATTTAATTAAATTTTACATTTTCCTGTTTTGCTTTAGCTACCACATTTTGTGTACAGCCTAAGAAACCATGGCTAGTGTTTTCATGATCGGTGTACCTGCCCCCACTCTTCACTGATCTGGATTTTCCCCTTGTAATAGTCCATATCTTCTTTTTTTAAAACTATCTAAGATTGTGTGTGTGTGTGTGTGTGTGTGTGTGTGTGTGTGTGTGTGTGAGACAGGGTCTCTCTGTAGCCCCAGCTGGCCTGGAACCCACTATGTAGACCAGGCTGGCCTTGAACTCACAGAGAACTATCTGCCTCTGCCTCCCAAATGCTGGGATTAAAGGTGTGAGCCACCACGTCTGGAAAGATTATTTTTTGAAAGATAGGAAGCTACTAATATATTTCAGCAAATGCTTAGATGCCTGACTCTGTTGGCAGAACAGAGTTGGGTATATAAATGTAATTAAATGATTAAGTGGTATTAATGCTATCATAAAGCCTGAATGGCTGTGTGATATAGTGGAAAGAGAACAGACTTTGAGATCAAACAATAAATACTAGTTCTGTAGCTTCTCAGCTGTATTACACTGAACATAATTATTGTCCTTGTATTAGTATAGGAAAGTTAGAAATTGCAATTTAAAATGCTTAGCAGAGTTTGTTGTACACAGTATGCATTTAG